GTAACACGTGGCAGAACCAAACAGGCGGGTAGACCCCAACGGACGGGTCGGGAAGGCGAGCCCAAGCGGCCAGGTCGAGAAGGCGGATTTTAAGAGTGATTACTGCATGAATCGCGAGCAGTCTCGAGCTAACGCGGTTCACCAATAAATCGTGAGGAAATCCACAGCGAGAACGTGATTCCTGAGTGTCGAAGGCGAGGTGTCTGAATGAATGGCGATGAAGTGCCACGCGAGAGCGCGATTCTTATATAAATTGTGAGGACGTCCCGCGCGAGAGCGCGATTCGGGAATAAGCTGTGAGGGAGTAGCAGATGGGAGCCGCCGTTGTTGTAAACTGGGGACCAGGGGCGCAGTTTGGTGCCTCGTCGCTTTCCCTTGTAAAAAGCAGGGTGCGAGCCCCGGGAGAAGCACCTCCATTGAGAAAGTATGATGGCTACTGGGCAGGGGGAATCGAAACTCAAAATTCTTCAGACATGCGAACTCAACAACAACAACAACAACAACAACAACTGCAACAACAACAAAAACAACAACAACAACAACAACAACAACAACAACAACAACAACAACAACAACAGCGACAACAGCGACATCGACAACAACGACGACGACGACGACAACGAGGACGACGACGACAACGACAACAACGACAACGACAACGACAACAGCAGCAACAACAACAACGACAACCACAACCACAACCACTACCACAACCACAACAACAACAACACAGAAAAAAACCGCACGCAATAATAACGAAAAGCATATAACCAACCATAACGAAACAACCAAAAACACAACAGGCACAAAACTAACAAGAACACAAGCAAAACACGGCGGGGCGCCCAGACCCCGCCGCTCTGCGGCACTCTTTCGAGCCGGGCCGCTCCGTGCGGGCCCTGGGAGCCCACGGCAGGGCAGAACCGCTGCTGCGGGACGAGCGCAGCGCCGGGACATCGGGGCGCCCCTCTGGTTCTCAGGTCGCGACCCTCGGCTCCTCGGCAGCCGTTCGGGGCGATTCTGGCACCCCGTGGGCGCCCTCGACGAAGAGCAGCTGATGGAAGCCGCCCCGGGCCTCGAAAACCTCCGAAAGCTGTGGTCCCAAGAAATATACGTCTGATATGAAGAAAAAAACAAAAAACAAAAAAAAAAAAAAAAAAACATAAGAATGATAAGCATGACCAATCAGAATGCTGAAAAAAAAAATAGTGACAATAGTGATACGAATGGTAACAATAGAAATCATTCCAATAATGATAACAACAATAACTTGGTAATAACAGAATCGAAAAAAAAAGGTGCAGCGCCGCCAGGATATCGGGGCCGCGCCCCCCCGCCTGGTGCAGGTACTCGAGGGCGAGCAGCACGCAGGCCGAGTACCTGGCCACCTGGCTCTTCGGCAGGCCCTGCGGGGGGGGGCGTGGTCGTCTGCATGTTCGTCATCGTCGTCGTCGTCGCGCCTTCGTCGTCGCATCGTCGTCGCCGCGTCTTGGCCGTCGCGTCTTCGGCGTGCTCTTCGTCGCTGTGGGGGTCGGCAAGGCGTCGCCGCCGTGGGCGTCGGCGTGTCCTTCGTCGTCGTCGTCGTCGTCGTCAGCGTCGTCGTCGTCGCCACCGCCGCCGCCGCAGTCGTCCAGCGTCGCCATTAGGGAGCGAGGGCGGCATCGACGGACGGACGCAGGCAGGGGCGGCCCAGGGCAAGAGGTGGCCTCTGCCTCTGGGGCGCGCGGCCTGCCGACGGCCGCAGTGCCAGGCGACTGCGGCGGCCTGCGTGCCTGCCCTGCGGGTCGAGGAGGTGTCGCCAGCGTGGGAGTCGGCGTGCTTCTCATCGTCGTCGTCGTTGTTGCCGTCGTCGTGGTCGTCCTCCGTCGTCGTCGTCGTCGTCGTCGGCTTCATCGTCGTCGTTGTCGGCATTGTCGTGGTCGTCCTCCGTCGTCGTGGTCGTCGTCGTCGTCGGCGTCGTCGTCGTCTGCTTCATCGTCGTCGTCGTCGGCGTCGTCGTGGTCCTCCTCCGTCGTCGTCGTCGTCGTCGTCGTCGTCGGCGTCGTCGTCGGCTTAATCGTCGTCGTCGTCACCGTGGTCGTCATCCGTCGTCGTCGTCGTCGTCGGCTTCGTCGTCGTCGTCGTCGTCGGCGTCGTCGTGGTCGTCTTCCGTCATCGTCGTCGTCGGCGTCGTCGTGGTCGTCCTGCGTCGTCGTCGTCGTCGCCGCCGGCGTCGTCGTCGTCGGCTTCATCGTCGTCGTCGTCGGCGGCGTCGTCGTGGTCGTCCTCCGTCGTCGTCGTCGTCGTCGGCTTCATCGTCGTGGTCGTCGGAGTCGTCGTGGTCGTCCTCCGTCGTCGTCCTCGTCGTCGTCGGCGTCGTCGTGGTCGTCCTCCGTCGTCGTCGTCGTCGCCGTCGTCGTCGTCGTTGTCGGCGTCGTCGTCATCGTCAGCGTCGTCGTGGGCGTCCTCTGTCGTCGTGGTCGTCGGCGGCGTCGGCGTGGTCGTCGTCGGCGTCGGCGTCGTCGTAGTCGTCCTTTGTCTTCGTCGCCGCCGTCGTCATCGTCAGCGTCGTCGTGGTCGTCTTCCATCTTCGCGGCTTGTCGTCGCCGTGAAGCTAATCGTTGTGGTCGTCCTCCGTCGTCGTCGTCGTGGTCGTCGACGTCGTCTTGGTCGTCCTCCGTCGTCGTCGTCGTCGGCGTCGTCTTCGTCGTCGTCGTCGTCAGCGTCGCCGTCGTCCTCCGTTGTCGTCGTCGTCGGCTTCGTCATCCTCGATCGTCGTCGTCGTCCTCGTCGTCGGCGTTGTCGTCGTCGAAGTCGTCGTCGTCGTCGGCGTCGTCGTGGTGAGCGTCCTCCGTCGTCGTGGTCGTCCTCAGTCGTCGTCCTTTGTCGTCCGTCGGAGTCGTCTTGGTCGTCCTCCGTCCTCGTCGTCGTCGGCGTCGTCGTGGTCGTCCTCCGTCGTCGTCGTCGTCGTCGTGGTCGTCCTCCGTCGTCGTCCTCCTCCTCCTCCTCCTCCGTCATCGTCGTCGTCGGCGTCGTTCTCCTCGGAGTCCTCGTCGTCTTCGTCGCCGCCACCGTCGTGATCGTCGTCGTCGTCGTCACCGTGGTCGTCATCCGTCGTCGTCGTCGTCGTCGGCGTCGACGTCGGCGTCGTCGTGGTCGTCCTGCGACGTCGTCGGCTTCGTCGTCGTCGTCGGCATCGTCGTCGGCGTCGTCGTCCTCTGTCGTCGTCGTCGTCGTCGTCAGCGTGGTCGTCGTCGGCGGCGGCGGCAAGGCCTCCGTCGTCGTCGTCGTCGTCGTCGTCGTCCTCCGTCGTCGTCCTCCATCGCCGTCGTCGTCGTCGTCGGCGTCGTCGCCATCGTCGTCGGCGCCGTCGTCGTCGTCGCCGTCGTCGTCGGCGTCGTCGTGGTCGTCCTCCGTCGTCGTCGTCGTCGTCGTCGTCGTCGTCGTGGTCGTCATCCGTCGTCGTCGTGGTCGTCGGCGTCGTCGTAGCCGTCGTCGTCGTCGCCGTCGTCGTCGTCGTCTTCGAAATCGTCGTCGTCGCCGTCGTTCTCCGTCGTCGTCGTCTTCTTCGACGTCGTCGTCGCCGCCACCGTCGTCGTCGTCGTCGGCGTCGTCGGCGTCGTCGTGGTCGTCCTCCGTCGTCGTCGTCGGCGTCGTCGCCGTCGTCTTGGTCGTCCTCCGTCGTCGTCGTCGTCGACGTCGTCTTCGACATCGTCGGCGTCGTCAGCGTCGCCGTCGTCCTCCGTTGTCGTCGTCGTCGGCTTCGTCATCCTCCATCGTCGTCGTCGTCGTCCGCGTCGTCGGCGTTGTCGTCGTCGAAGTCGTCGTCGTCGTCGTCGTCGTCGTCGTCGTCGTGGTCGCCGCCACCGTCGTCGTCGTCCGTCGACGTCTTCTGGGGGGGCATCGGCGGCCCGCCGCAGGCAGGGGTGGCCCTGGGCCGAGTTGTCTATCGACGATGGGAGGGAAGAGAGGAAGCGGCGACAGGGGAGAAGGAAGAAGAGAAAGGGGCAGAGCTGGAGCGGGAAAAGGAAGGGCCATCTGCCCCGCGCACGGAAGCTCCTGAATCGGCGCAGCAGATCAGGGGTACCCACCCGAGCCGCCGACCTTTAAGCACGTCGGACCGAGAAGACCACGGGAAAGAGGTACAGAGGGAAACCAAAAGGTACCGATACTGCTACTCGCTGGACCTCTCCAGGGGGTGTTCCGATCCGAATTTTTAGAGGCGAATCCAGCGGTGGCGACGAGGGCCTCCCACGAGGCCCAAAAAAAAGTGAGACGAAGGAACGGTAGCGATATCTGTACCTCTTCCTCCACTGAATACGGAGCCGCTCTCCTCCCGCGGGACCCCGGCATCAAAAAGTCGAGACGGCCGACTTGTCAACGCATCGGTCGGCGGTGCCCAAAGACGTGGCCATGAGGCATGTGGCCCCAGGGACGAGGCGCCTCAAGCAGTGAAAGTTCAGCATGGGATCCTGTTTCCTGCGACGAAAAATCGGGTCTTGCGCCAGATTTGCGCCGGCTTGATCACACCATGACGTGTTCATGTGAGAAAAAACTGGACGTCCGAACAATTTCGTCCACCATCGCTGAACGATGGTGAGCTTGTGGACACGTCACGAATACATCAAGAAAACCAGTACGGCACGTGCCGGCGTGAAGCACTGCTCAGTTGCAGCGCAGATCAGACGCCAACGCCGATGAGACAGCATGGGGCCCCTTCCCATCCTCGAGCCCCATCCCTCAGGGCCCCAGCTTGGAACCGCCGAAAGAGGCCTCAAGGGGGAGGAGGGAGGCGGGGGGGCATCTCCCGCCGCGCGGACCGTCAGGAAGGCGACCCGGGATGAGAAGGCGAGCCCCCGAGCTGGAGCCCAGTCCTGTGCGCCCGCGTCGTGAAGCAGCAGTCGCGCCGCCATGCGTGCTGGGCACATAGGCTGGAGACCGGACGAGGCGCTCACTTCCGCCCACCACCGCTCCGCCCTCCTCCACCACCTCCGTCGGAGGCAGCCCCGTGGATGGCCGCAGGAGGGCAGCCCGTGCACGCGCTGCCTCCCGCGCAGCACCACCGCAGCACGGCGCGGCGATGGGCGTGCGCCGCAAGGGCATCCGGGTGCTGGAGCCAGTGGAGAGGAGGCACGCCCCTGCGCACGCCCCGGTCTCCACCAGGGGGCCCGAGCGGGGGCATGGATCACCTCAGGCGCAAAGCTCTTTATCCGTGCGTGTCTCCTCCTGGCGTCCAGGGTGGGGGGCAGCGGCACGAGTATGGATCGAATGCGCACAGCCGAGGGAAAGGGACACAGCAGGTTCGCATCGTGACGACAGTCGCGCTGGTCTCTGACACCGCGCGGAGCCGCTCATTTCCGAACGAGCGCGGTTTTTCCAGCTGCGCCGGGAGCCTTCAGTGTCCACCGGTTCTGGACCACTGGCGGTGGTCAAGCCTGAACACCCGCGCGGGGGTCGTCGCCGCGTCGACACTCTGAGGAGGGCTAGTTCGTCGTCGTCGTCGTTGTCGTCGTCGTCGTCGTCGTCGTCGTCGTCGTCGTCGTCGTCGTCGTCGTCGTCGTCGTCGTCGTCGTCGTCGTCGTCGTCGTCGTCGTCTCCTCCCTCCTCCCTCCTCCCAACGCGGCTTTCCCGCCCCGCCAAATCCGCTCAAAGTAGGTCCCCAGACCCCTCCCGGGCTCACATCCTGACCCGTTTGCCTTGGCGGATCCAGCCGTGGCGACGAGAAGCCTCCAGGAGGCCCAGAAAGGTCGGAAAAACGCCAGGGAGGACCACCAGTGTCTCGACTAGCCTTCCCCTGTTTGCTTTCGGGCGATAACTCGGGATGATTCTAGCATCCCCAGAACGCCCATGACGAGGCGCAGCTGCTGGAAACCATCCAAGTTGCCGAAAACCTGTGAGAACCTTCCAAAAACCTGCTGGGAACTATGACGATAACGATGTCATGATACACTTGGCTCAGGATACGGTCCATAATCCAGGAGTGCCTAGCGGCTCGCGTTTCTAGAGCCCGTGTGGAGCAGCAAAAAATGTCGAACAACCTACAAAGCTCTAGTACATTGGAACGTATGATTCCCGTGAGTCCTTGCTCCCCTGAAGAACTGATGCAGGGAACCGCGTGGGCATCCTGCCCCTGCAGGTCAGAGTTCTGGAGCACTGGCTGGGGTCCAGAACTCGAAGGATGCCTGCAGCCGTGTGAACCCCCGCGGGGGGATCTGATACCCAGTCGAGGGCCCCCCCCCCTCGCGGGGGGAGGGCCCTCGCGGGCCCGCGAGGGGGAGGCCCTCGAGGGCCCTCGAGGGCCCGCGGGGGGAGGGCCCGAGTGCGCCCGCGGGGGCAGGGCTCGCAACTGGTCGCGGGCGGTGGGCGACGCCTCGGGCCCCGCAGACCCCACGCTAAGCCCCCGCGCCGCCCCCCCCCCCGGAGCGGAGCCGCCGCACTGGCCGCCAGGCCCAGACCTTTTGAGCAGGGACCGACCGTCCCGGCATTCCTGTAGTCCTACCACGACATGCTCCTAGAACCCAAGAATGGTATAAGAACAATGACAACGTTCTTAGAACATAAACCCGATGCGTTAAAACAAAACAAGATCCGCCAGAGATGTTCTACGAACAGTTCTTGGAAACCACCAGAAAAATTCTTAGAACATTGCTTGGCAGGGCTATAGGCCAGCCAGGACGCTCCGCAACTGCTGGAAGACCGCGACGCGCGACCTGCGCGCCCCCGCGGGTGCCCCGGACGCCTCCCGGACCCCCATCCCCCCCCGGGGGGTGCTCCCCGACCACGTCGGCCGGCCACGGCAGGCAGCAGGCGCGGGCCCTGCCCGCGGAGGCGCGGGCCCGCGGCCCTAGGGCCGAGCGGGCGGCCGCCTCGGCTCGGCCGCCGCCGGTGGTGTGCCCCAGGATCTTGACGTTCAAGTCCGTCTCGCAGCACTCCATCAGGATCCCGTAGAAGGTCCTCGGGCCCAGGGCGGGGCGCGGCGAGCCAGCGCGGCACCGCCAAGGGCGGGGCCCTGCAGGGCCTGCGCGGGGGGGCCGGAGCCCTCGGCGCAGGTCGTCCGTGCTTGCTGGACGCTGGAGGCCGGGCCCAGGGGAAGGAGCGAACCGGAGCTGGGTCCGGCGGGGGAGAGGCGTCGTGGTCACAGCTGGACCCCCTCCGAGGTCGTTGTCGCCGCCGTCGTTCCGGAGGCATTGCAAGAGCAGGTTCTCGTCGCCACGGCTGGACGCAGCTCGAAGAACAGATCGCCCCAATACTGGCCGAAAGGGGCCTCAAGATGGCCCAAACAGAGCCCCAAGACGGACGAGCGGGCCCCCAGATGGCCCCGACAACAATAAATACCCTGTGACGTACCCAACCCATTTGTATCAATGGAAACGAGGAGTTGGCCGAAACTTGCATGGACGATCAACTTGATGTGTAAGCTACTTGGGACACGAGCCTATGGCATGATGCGCAGGAGAACCATACAAGGACGAGGGGCGACAGCTACAGGCTCGAAGAGGACATGGGGAGTCCGGAACGCAGAGCAGGAGAAAAACGTGCGGGAAGCCGAACCATCAGCACGGCAGCAGCAGAGGGAAGGTGACTGCAGGAAGAGAACAAGGACGAAAGCGGCGTCTAATTTGAGTCTGCGGTGGATACCCACTGTGCTGTGCCCCTCAGCAGCCCTCGAAAGTGGCGACAGTTTCACAGATCGCAGCCCCCCAGGGATGGCGAGGTCTAATTTGAGTCTGCGGTGGGTACCCACTGTGCTGTGCCCCTCAGCAGCCCTCGAAAGTGGCGACAGTTTCACAGATCGCAGCCCCCCAGGGATGGCGAGGTCTAATTTGAGTCTGCGGTGGGTACCCACTGTGCTGTGCCCCTCAGCAGCCCTTGAAAGTGGCGACAGTTTCACAGATCGCAGCCCCCAAGGATGGCGAGGTCTAATTTGAGTCTGCCGCGGGTCTGTGCTCTGGAAAGTGGCGACAGTTTCACAGATCGCAGCCCCCAGGGATGGCGAGGTCCGCGGGTCTGTGCTGGGCCCAGCAGCCCCGCAGTTTCACAGATCGCAGCCCCCCAGGGATGGCGAGGTCTAATTTGAGTCTGCGGGGGTACCCACTGTGCTGGCAGCAGCCCTCGAAAGTGGCGACAGTTTCACAGATCGCAGCCCCCCAGGGATGGCGAGGTCTAATTTGAGTCTGCGGTGGGTACCCACTGTGCTGTGCCCCTCAGCAGCCCTCGAAAGTGGCGACAGTTTCACAGATCGCAGCCCCCCAGGGATGGCGAGGTCTAATTTGAGTCTGCGGTGGGTACCCACTGTGCTGGCCCCTCAGCAGCCCTCGAAAGTGGCGACAGTTTCACAGATCGCAGCCCCCCAGGGATGGCGAGGTCTAATTTGAGTCCTGCGGTGGTACCCACTGTGCTGGGCCCCCCAGCAGGCCTCGAAAGTGGCGACAGTTTCACAGATCGCAGCCCCCCAGGGATGGCGAGGTCTAATTTGAGTCTGCGGTGGGTACCCACTGTGCTGTGCCCCTCAGCAGCCCTCGAAAGTGGCGACAGTTTCACAGATCGCAGCCCCCCAGGGATGGCGAGGTCTAATTTGAGTCTGCGGTGGGTACCCACTGTGCTGTGCCCCCCAGCAGCCCTCGAAAGTGGCGACAGTTTCACAGATCGCAGCCCCCCAGGGATGGCGAGGTCTAATTTGAGTCCGCGGTGGGTACCCACTGTGCTGGGCCCCCCAGCAGCCCTCGAAAGTGGCGACAGTTTCACAGATCGCAGCCCCCCAGGGATGGCGAGGTCCCATTTGAATCCGCCGTGGGTACCCACTGTGCTGGGCCCCCCAGCAGCCCTCGAAAGTGGCGACAGTTTCACAGATCGCAGCCCCCCAGGGATGGCGAGGTCTAATTTGAGTCTGCCGCGGGTCCCACTGTGCTGGGCCCCTCAGCAGCCCTCGAAAGTGGCGACAGTTTCACAGATCGCAGCCCCCCAGGGATGGCGAGGTCTAATTTGAGTCTGCCGCGGGTACCCACTGTGCTGGGCCCCTCAGCAGCCCTCGAAAGTGGTGACAGTTTCACAGATCGCAGCCCCCCAGGGATGGCGAGGTCAAAATTTGAGTCTGCCGCGGGTACCCACTGTGCTGTGCCCCTCAGCAGCCCTCGAAAGTGGCGACAGTTTCACAGATCGCAGCCCCCCAAAGGCAGGATGGCGAGGTCAAAGGCAGGGGGGAAGAGAGGGACGGGAAGTAAGGAAGGTTCGCGCGAGAAGTGCTCTATTCAAAACGAGAACCCAACGCAGGAGGGTTGGGAAAAAACAAGACCGACCAAGGTGGCGCCAAGACGCCCCCCAGAGCACTCCGAATCGATTGGCTTCGGGATGGCCCCAGCAAGCCCCCAGAGGCCCCCCAAAGGCTTTCATGAGGCCTACAGAGGTTCCCGAAAAGCTCCCAAGTGGGCTTCGAGAAGCAGCCCCCAAGAACCCCCCCAGAGGCTTCGAGAGGCTCCCAAGAGGGCTTCGAGGAGCCTTCGCAAAAGCTGAGGGAGGACGAGGAAGGGTTCACAGGATAACGAAGAAGAGGAGGAGAGAGGAACAAAGGGAGCACAAAAAATGAAAAAACAAAAAACAAAAAAACAACAAAAAAAAACTACTTGAGCGAAAGCACAGGGAATTGTGAAGACTAATATCTCTACTTGCCTCTCCCTCTCTCTCTCTTTCTCTCTCTCTCTCTCTCTTATCATGCCTGTGTGCGAGACTTGAAGGACAAAAATGTGTGGCGCGAAGCGCCAATCCTGTAGAACAGTGAACTCTGGAGGCGGCAACGAGCTAGAGAACAGGGGCAAGCTAAAGCTCGAGCTCGAACCAAACTTGGACAAATCCGAAGAAAGCTGGACATTGAGCTGGAGCAAGCGCGCACACCAGAATGATAGCTACACGTGCAACTACAACTAACGTTGGGGAGCCCAACCTGAAGCGGGAGCATACCAGGGCCTGACTCTCGGGTAGAACACACTCTCCATGGAACGCACAGTCAATTATTGTGGACTGTTGACGGCAAGTTCGTCAGGGGTAAATGCCGAAGCGTACACACATGCTCACGTGCACGCGTACACGAGTGTATGACTGCATAGTTTGGACTGGGTATGTGCACGAGAACATACACGTGCGCAAACACATGTTGTGTGCCCCCTGGGCATTTCACGGAGGCGACACCGGCGGTTCGGAAACGCGAGAACCAAACACGAGACGATATAGCTTTCCACCCACCCGCTCACCCGCCTACCCACGACAACCCAAATCAGCTGCAAGCAGGTGCCGACAACATGCATGAAGCAAATCTGGAATCAGCATTCGAAAGTTCGTTAAATCTCGGCCACCAGATGACAGACAGTTCAGTGGTTTTGGGATCGCAAAAGTTGAGAGAATCACGAGCGGGCGAGACAAGCCAGGATAGACGATGGCGGGAGGCGATAGAATTGTCCCAAAGGTGTTCAAATGTCGAAAACAATCTCGGAGCGTGCCATGGTCCTCGTCTGGAAGACCCGGATGAGGCGGACGATGAATGCATGGTTTGACCTCGTCTCTCTGTTCTACCACGTAGCTTCACAATGAGAGTGTGAAAAGACGACCGTGGCAAGCAACCAAGGCTGACTTGGCTGACATCACGCTCTACAAACACATGACCAAACGTCAAGAATGAGGAGGATCGGTTTCCCGTCTAAGAGTAAATCAAATGAAGATGACTGTGGCTCCAAACAAAAACAGCACGGGTACAGTCGCAAACATACTAACGTGCAAAGGTCACCAACAAACAGCTGGTGTCAACACCATCAGGCAAAAATAGGTTTGGGAGAAAGACGATGCCTGTGCAAAGCCTTGGCTTCTCGCATCGCGAACTTGGTGGTCTGGTCTTTCCTCGCATCGGAAGGTTGAATCGACGGGCGGACGCGCCGAGGTGTGAGGAGACAACATGGAAGAGAGCCAGTCGGGGCAAGTCGAGTGGCAATGCCAGACACGAGCGTGTGAATAAGCCAGCGAGACAAAAATGACTGGCCGAACCAACAGAAGGACACCACCGAGCAGCGAAGTCCGTCCTCTGCAGCTTCATCGCGTAGAAGCCTCCAGTGCGCACGTCCGTGACCTGGGCGCCATTCCGGGGCTGCACCTCTAAGCGGAGGTGCCGATGAAGATTGCAACGATGCTCCTGACAGGAGCATTCCTGTCTAGCCGAAGTAGTAATGTAATCGATGGTTGAGGGCCAAGCAAATCACGCAAACATCCCAGGCGTTTGGCACTTCATCATCCGAACTTACTCTCCCGATGGGCGGGCAAGGCTGACTGAACGATGGCCTAGATCGCAACAAGATTGAAAGCAAACTGACAATTGTCAGACCTGGTGTGTTCCCACTAGATAATTTTCTTTGCAGTGGCAAACTAGGCACCCCACTAACGCCGCTCTGCGGTCCTTGCGATGTCCCTCCTCTTGTTCCCCCCCCCAGTGCACGTGCACTCATTCTCCTCCCCCTCCTCCTCCTCCTCACCGTGCTTGGCGCATGCCGCATGCCACTCATGGCAGAACCTCAGCGTTGAGCAGAACCTCTGCACACACGCTCTGCTCTGGAACAGCACTGGACAAGGGATAACTTTCACAACTTCTTCCTGTGAAGACCAAGTGAAACTCGTGTGCGACTATGATTCGATGGCATCTTCCGCCAGCGGCAGGGCCGATGCGTGACGACAGCCGATTGCTTGCTTGTACGTGGCAAACTGAATCGCACCGTTGGAGGCTGATGTGTCTGCGAAATCGTTCCATGGGTTGTCGACGTGTCTCTTGAAGCGTGTAACAAGCACTGGTCTGTGTGCGAAGCTCGTTGCAGTGCGGCATGAATAGAGAAGCCGTTCGCTCGGAAGAGGGCACGGAATCATGAGCGTGTGCGTTGGTGGCCGCTAGTAGCACGCACCAGCTATGATGACGTCGTGTCGGCGCGTATGGCCATCGCTACATACGTGGGCTGGTAGGCGCAGTGAGGGTGCGTGAGAATGGGCCCATCGCATTCACAGAGGAAGAGGGGGATGCTCCGCTCTGCGACTGCCGAATTGAACTGTCGACAAGTTGGTTGATTGGTGCTGCTGGCCACTGCCGACACTCTGCGTTTAACCCCTCTCCAGCCCTCGAAAAAGAGGTTCAACGCAAGGAATCGGCCCAACCCCCTGCCGTAACCCCCTTTGGAATCCTGCAGTCCTCCTCCTCCTCCTCATCATCATCCTCCTCCTCCGCCTGCCTGGCGCCTTGTGGCACAAGTATACGGGGCTGGCCAAGCCCCCGAGCCCCTCAAATGAACTGCGAGTCTCCTCGATCAATGGCCCTTCGGCCAGGAGCCAGCGGAGGTGGAGGTAACCTCCATGTGACATTTGGAAACAAGCAAATGAATCCTGAGAGACAAAGGTCCAGGGCCTTACCCCAGGACCAACGTTTCGCCCTGAGCCGTCTTCTGACAGCCCCAAGACCCGTGGAGGGCCACAGGGGGTCAAAACTCAAAACCGTTTTCCTCAGGACCCAGCTGCTGAATGGCGACTCCATGTCTTCCACTGTCTTGAGGGACAGCGAGAGAAAGGGGGGACCGGCTCAGGGAGGGGGACATCGAGCTGGATTCGGCAACACGTCGCCGATTGATGGGCAGTAGGCCCCCGAGAGTCTGGCTTTCGGGTCAGAGCTCGGATCTCCGCCTGCCGTTCGTGACGATCCAGGCCCCCCCGGACGGCAAGCCGCCGAGAACCGACGAAAACGTCCGATAACTTCGAACTTCAAACCGCCGTCCCCTGACGTTGCCCTAGACCCACTGCCTGCGCTACCGCGGATCCCCAGCTGGAGCGCTCGGCGACGCCGCCGCCGTGGACACCCCGAGCCCCACCTTCTGGTAGAGGAACGAGAGACTGCACCAGTCTGATTTCTCGGAGCTTCGCGCAGATTTCCTGGAGTGGCGCTGTACCCCCCCTCCCTAGCGCGTGGGGGCCCAACCCCGATCCAAGAAGTCCGCGCGGAGCTCCCAGAGATGATGGTTATGCCGCTCCTTGCTATTCGAAAACATGTACCCATCGGACGAACGAAGTCGGTGGAAACATGAAGTCGAGAAGCCTTGGAAGTAGAGTGGATGTCCGCCCGCCCCCTGAAGAGGAGGGAAGAGGAACAACCGCTCAAGTCTTGAAACAGGAGGGCGCCTAAAATAGAGCAGGAGCTGGGCATCCAAACATACCTACACTCACAGACCCGCGTGTTTGCCGCTGTGTGCTATTATTATGTCCATCCTCCCCTTGCTGCTGCTCCCCCCTCCCACCCGCGCCGCCCAACACGGGGGCACCGCCGGGGAGGGGCCCAAGACGCCGATCCGAGAAAGCCGCACGGAGCTCCGAAAAATCATGCTTACAGCAGGAGCTCGACCACAACACACCGTCCACAGGAAACCGAACCCTGAGACCCCCAAGACGTCCATTGATTCTTTGTGTGGGAGCGTCATCATGGCAAAACCATCGAAACCCAAGGAACCCAGGGCACCCTGGAGGCAAGGAGGGTGTTTTTTGGCATGGGTTTCCACTGTATCGTCCGACCAGGCCCGCCATATCGATCCCTATAGAGAGAGCGTGATCCACCGCCGCTTTCCTGTGGAAAATTGCCGCCCTTTTCCTCCGGAACCTGGGGGTCCCCCCCCCCCTCCGAAAAATCCCCCCCCCCCTGCTGGACCCCCCCCCTTCCCCCGGTCAAACCCCCCCCCTCCCCTAACCCCTTCCCCCCCCCTCTCGAACTCGAAAACCGGGGGGGGCCACTACCGGTTCGAACCCCCCCCCCCCCTCAAAACCGGAGGGGGGGGTCACTACCGGTTCGAACCACTGATGAGCTGTCCCACTGTTCCCACCACTCCCCACTGTCCCCACCACTGTCCCCACTGTACCTCTGTCCCATTGTCCCACCGCCGTCCTCGCCACCGCCTTCACCACTGTCCCCACCACCACTGTACCCTCCACTGTCCTTCTGTTTCCACCACATTCCCACTGTTTCCCCCACACCACTGTCCCACCACACCACCGTCCCCACCACTGTCCCACTGTCCCCACTGTTCCCACCATTGTCCTCACCATTGTCCCCACCACTACCGTCCCCACCACTGTCCCAGTGTCCCCACCACTGTCCCGCTGTCCCCTCACCACTGTCCCCACCACCACCGTCCCCACCACTGTCCGCACCCCCCCTCGGTTTTCGTGGGGGGGGGGGGTGGGGGGGGGGGCGTTCGAACCAGAGGTGACCCCCTCCGGTTTTCGAGTTCGAGGGGGGGGGGGTTCGAACGGGTAGTGACCCCCCCCCTTTTCATGATGAACTGGGGGAGGGGGGAGGGGTTCAAACCGGTAGTGACCCCCCCCGGTTTTCCGGAGGGGCGGGGGGGGGGAGGGGTTCGAACCGGTAGTGACCCCCCCCGGTTTTCCGCCAGCAGCGGTAGAACACGCTCTTTCCTATCCCCCTATCGTTCCCCTATCCGCCGCCCGCCCTACTGTTCCCTTGCCCGACGCTATCCGCCCTGCCGTTCCCCGACGCACCCCCCACCCTATCGTTCCCCTGTTCCCCCCTGTATCCCCGAAGTATCGTTCGCTATCCCAAATCGTTCCCCCATCCGCCGCCCTATCGTTCCCCTACCCCCCTACCCAATCCGACACGACCTTGCCCCATCCTCCCCCCCTACCAAACCGCTGTTCCGCTGGAAGCTCGGCGACGCACCCAAGGGCATGTTCGCGTTTCGCCCAGCGGCCGTTCCCACAGGCAACGAGCCAACGGTCCTCGGCCTGTCCGCCGACCAAAACTGGCTCCAGGAGTACCAGGCCAAGCGGTGGAACCCCAGGTGGTACTGTGAGCGATGCCTGGTCCGCGTCTCGGATGATCGGCCCTTCGATGACTCCGAAATCCTGGCGCGGGACGGCCCACAGGTGTACCCAGCCCAGCCGCCTGTGAGGCAGCGTCCACCCCCGCCGCCATTGCCTCAGGTTTCTTCGGCACCCCTGACTCACCTGCGGCTGCAAGAGTACACATCACCAGGGCCGCCCTCCTCCTCCTCCTCCTCCTCCTCCTCCTATTCCTCCTCCTCCTCTTCCTCCTCCTCCTCCTCCTCTTCCTCCTCCTCCTCCTCCTCCTCATCCTCTTCTTATCATTATTATGATTATTACTACTATCATTATCATTATCATTATTATTATTACCATCATTATTATTATTATTGTTGTTGTTAGTATTATTGTTGTTATTATTATTAATATTAGTAGCATTATTATTAGAATTATTATCATTATTATTAATAGTATTATTATTAGTAGTAGTAGTATTATTATTATTGTTATTATTAGTAGTATTATTATTAGTAGTAGTATGATTGATATTATTATTCTTACTATTAGTATTAGTATTAGTATTAGTATTAGTATTAGTATTAGTATTAGTATTAGTATTAGTATCAGTATCAGTATCAGTATCAGTATCAGTATCAGTATCAGTATTATTATTATAAGTATTATTATTATTCCTCCTCCTCCTCCTCCTCTTTCTCTTCCTCTTCCTCCTCTGCCTCTTCCTCCTCCCCCTCTTCCTCCTCCTCCTCCTCCTCCTCCTCATCATCATCATCATCATCATCACCACCACCACCACCACCACCACCACCACCACCACCACCACCACCACCATCATCATCATCATCATCATCATCATCATCATCATCATCATCATCATCTTCCTCCTCCTCCTCCTCCTCCTCCTCCTCCTCCTCCTCCTCCTCCTCCTCCTGCTTCACCCCTTCTCCGCCATCAGCAACATCGCCCCCGTTCTCCTCCTCTCCGTCGTCCGCATACGATTCTCCCCCGCCTTCCGTAGGCCCGCTCGGCCCGTTCGGGCCGCGGGCGCGGGCGCGCGGCCGCGCGCCTTGATGACCTTCCCGAAACCTGGGGGTGTGGGGGGGCATGGAACGGGCGTCTGCCTCCCCCCCCCTTTCGCGAGGGAAGGGAGGGGCAACGAACGGACGGGCGGACGGCTTTCAGGCGCGCTGGGCACAGAGACCGTCCAAATGGGCAGAGACCACTCGAGCGGAGTTGTCCAGCCCCTCTAAGCCGCGCATGGCACTTGTAGCCCATCTATGGGTTAGGTTCGGCCAGCTGTGGCCCACTTTGACATCCACCCCCAACCCCATTCATCCCGTTAGCAACCCCCTGCGGACATCCAATTGGGAACAGGGGCGAATTTGAAGCACCGTGGCCCGGAGCATGCGCGCGGACGAGGGGCCAGGGGGCGTACCGAGAGAAGAAGAGGGGGTCATAATATTTCTCCTCCCCCCAGTCCTCGCCCCCCTCTTGGACGCCCCCGAGGTCCGCTGACCAGCTGCAAGAGTCTGAACCCTTAATTGCGCGCAGGCGCCCGGGCAAATATAAAAAGGCGGCACAGGCGCCGAAGTTCGTCAGCGGCAACCAACGGCAAGCTTCGTGGGGGGGTGACGGCGGCAAGTATGCGTCTGCGTGTGTGCGTGTGTGTGTGTGTGTGCGCGTGTGTGTGCGCCAACCCCCACACGGGAGAGGGGCGCAGGCACACGCACATTAGTCGAGCTGTCTCGCGGGATTCTGATTCAGCGCAGGACGTTTGCGCAGGATGTTTGAAGAGGGTGGAAAAGAAAGGAAGTGGGCGCCAACACCCGATGAACAACAACCCACCTGCGTCGACTCAGTGCAACGGCCAGGCTGCAATGCTGGTGAACAGTCTGCGGCTGGAATTAAGATCACTGCTCTCAAGGCGCACCGTGCCAAAAGACAGACGAAGATGGACTGCAGATACCCGCGCCCATCCTGCACGCTTCGACGGCGCAGGTACAACGACAGAAGTACATCGCCACGCGGTGGACAGCAGCAGCAGCAAAAGCAGAAACAGGAAGGCAGGCAGCAGGGAGGAGCGGGGAGAACAGACGGGAAGGGACACAGCAGCACAGCAGGCAAGGCGGAGAGCAGCAGGGAGAGGAGCAGGAGAGCGAGCGAGAGAGGAGGCAGCAGAGCACGGAGGGAGGGAAGGCGGAAGAAGGAGGGAGTCCGCGGCAAGCAACGCGCAGCAGCAGGGGACGGGAGGCAAAGAACTGCCAGCGAATGTAACATGCGATCGAAAAGGTATTCGGAAGCGCGGATTGCCTGCCCCGCAGGGGACCTCGGATGTGAATCAGGGCGGCAGGGGCCACCAGAACCTGTGGGCCACGTACAAACATGCAGGACGAGGGGGAGGGAGGAGGAGACGAGGGAGGGAGAGGAAGAGGAAGAAAACTCTGGCTGTGCACTCGGGGCCGACTGTTGTGGCCCTGCTGGAGAGAGAGGGGGGGGGAAGAGCGTACCTGGCCTAGTTACTCAGTCGACCGCCCGCGGGCCTCCCGAACGTGGCCGACGAAAGCTCAGACGACGTCCTGCAGCGTGAGTCTGCCGTGGCGGCGGCCGCTGTGAGGAAACATCAGGCGGGAGCCGCTGCTGTTGTAGTTCGAGGGCCAACAACGCATTCTGAGCCCCAAGACTTTCCCTTGGAAGAAACAAGATGTGATACCCGCGAGGAGAACTTAAATCGAAAAGTACAGTGGGCACTGGGCGCGGGGATCAACAATAATCCTTCGTCCAGAAAGATAGGATTCAACCATCATTTTTCAACTCTTCGCTCTTATCTGCTCGCGTGCCACCCAACACGTAGATCCCGAACCCTCGATACCCGCTCTCTTCGTCTTCGATCGTACCCCGGTTGCGGGTAGATCTTCCCTACCTGCCACGTGTAGTTGGCGGAGGGAAAAGACGAATCGGGGGGAGAAGAATCGAGCACGAGAGAGATTTGCAGGAAGGGGGTCAAAAGGAGTATAACCGGCAGAACCAGACGGGCGGGTCGGGCGGGCGGACCCTAACAGGTAGGTCGGGCGGGTGGGCCCAGACGGCTTGTTCGAGCAAAAGGGTCGCTGAAGCGTGAATTCAACATGAATCGCAAGTACGTTTCGCGCGATATCGCGATTCCCCAGCAAATCGTTAGAAAATCCACAGCGAGAGTGTGATTCCTGAGTGTTCAGGGTACCGCGCCGCAGTAAATTGAAGAAAAAATACCACGCGAGAGCGCGATTCCTAGATAACTTGTGAGGGAGCACGACTTGGGAATAGATTGTGAGGAATTGTTCGAGCTCGGGGCCCAGAAACGCAATTTGAGGATTATGACTCTCCCCCATCAGGAGCATGGTGCGAGCCCCAGGAGTGGCACTGTTCTAGTTGAAGAAACAGACTGTGCACCGGGCGGGGGGGGGATCGTCGACGACGACGACGTCGTCGTCGTCGTCTCGACGTCGTCGTCGTCTCGACGTCGTCGTGGTCGTCGTCGTCGTCGTCGCCGTCGTCGTCGTCGTCGTCGTCGTCGTCGTCGTCGTCTCGACGTCGTCGTCGTCGTCGTCGCCGTCGTCGTCTCGTCGTCGTCGTCGTCTCGTCGTCATCGTCGACGTCAAGACGACGTCGTCGTCTCGAGAGAGCGTGGAACTCCACGAGCCGCGCGCGGGGCGCGCGCGACGAAAGAGGCGGCGGGCGGCCTCCGCAGCCGAGCGTGCCGGTGGCCTTCAGGGAGGACAGGTTCAGCTGGTCGGCGGGCTCGTGCATGTGCAGGAGCACCTGGGGAGGTGCAGGTTCAGCCCGTGCAGGTAAGGATGCGCGATAAGGGTGCAAGGGCCTCGGGAGGCCACGTCGAAGCTTTTTCGAGCGGGGCGCGGCCAACGAAAGTGGCCAAGGATGAGCCGAGGAGGTAAGGATGCAAGGGTACCCTTGGGAAGATTGGCCATCCTTACTATGCGGGTTGACTGTACTCTCGGATGCCCGCACAGATCTTGTTGGATCGGCGATGGCCTTTTTCGAGGGAAAGGGCACGGCACATTCCACACTTGCGGTCGGGCATGCCCCTCTGACAGCAGGAACATGCAGAAATAGTCAACAAAATGGTCCGGGGACGAGGATGTTCCGACACTTGTTTGTCTACGTGTGTCTAGTTTTGAATATGTCTCCGGTGCCGCCGACTCCCGCCTTGCGCGCGGCTGAGACCAGGCGAAAAAACCGAGCCGCGCTCCAGGCCCAGGCCACTCGTAGGGGAACAAAAAGTGGCATAAACATAAGAACTCGGAGGTCCGCGCGGATTTCTCGGATCGGCGAGGGACCCTCTCCCCGGTGCGCGGAGCGCGCCGGGGGCGGCGCCAGAGGCGCCGCCGAGGGTGCCCAGCGCCGATCCACGCAAATCGCGCGGACCTCCGACCGCGTTTGGCGATGCCGCTCTCTGTTCCTCGCTCTAGATTTGCCCCCCCCCCTCCCTCCGCCTCTTCCCCCTTCTGCGGCTCAGAAAGGGCACAGAAGAGAGAGAGAGAGGGGGGGAGAGAGAGAGAGAGAGAAACAAAAAAAAAAAAAGGAAAGAGGAAAGGGCACAAAGGAGAGAACAGGAGGTGGAAGAAGCGGTGGCAGGATCACAGGCGCGGTGTTCTGTCAACCTGGGGCCCCCCTCCCTCCTCCCCAGTCCTCCGAGGCCGTGAGTTTCTCATGGCGTCGACCCCCAGAGGTCTGGACCCCTTCCCCGGCACCGGTTTTTCGCCCCGAGTCGTTTGACGGCCCCGAGACCCGCTCAGGGCCCCCCAAAGGCCGAACATGGTGAAAAAACCTCCCGTCGCCACTTGATTCTCATCTCGAGCCATTCTTTTTTGACGGCCCCGAAGCCCGTCAAGGGCCCCCAGAGGCCGAACACGGCGAAAGACCATCCGCCACCGTTTTTGTCAGGACCCGCAGGGGGCTGGGTCTCCGCGGCCCCCCGAAGCTGCGTGCCAGAGGCCACGGCTGCCTGGGGCCACCTCCTGCGCGCAGTCCACACAGGAAACCCATGCCAAGAGACACCCTGCTTGCCTCCGGGATGCCCTGCCCTAGGTTTCTTGGGTCTCGAAGGTTTTGTTATGGCAAGCGTGACGCTCCCACACCAAAAATCAAGGCACGTCCTGGGGTGTCAGGGTCGGGAATCGTGTGGTCGAGCTCCTCTCGCACGAGCGACGCCAGCACAACCGGGTCGTCTGCGCCAACAGGGCCGCGCAGGCTGCTCGCGCAAGGTCGCGCGTGAGCACTGTCGCCTCCAGTGCAGCGCGCCGCGCCGGCGGCCCGCGCAAGCCACCTCGTAAGGTCGCCGCGTCGTCTCTCGCAAGACCCGTTTCTGATCGTCGCTGACCGGGGCCGCGAGCAGCCCGCAGGGCACCCCCCAGGCGCCCAGCGCCAGGCGCTCCCCAGGCACTGCCTGGGCGCTCCCCGGGCGCTTCCCCGTGGAGCAGTGCGAGCGACGAAGAGGGACGGGTCTCTCACTCGAGACGGCATAGGGTCCTTGCGCGGTGGCTCACGCGGGCCGCCAGCGCGGCACGGTAGACTTGAAACGAGGGCGCTTACGCGCGACCGTACGCGGGCAGCTTACGCGCAAATGTCCGCGCAGTCGACCCATTTGTTCTGCTCGCCCATGCGGGAGGAGAGGATGCATCTGCACCAGATGCATCCGTGAAATCTCGGGAGCGGATGCATCAGTGGGAGCATGCCAAACTCCCTGACCCTTCCCCTCCCTCCCCTCCTCCCTCCTTCCCTCCCTCCCTCCCTCCCTCCCCTTGCACTCCCCCTCCCCCTCCCCCTGCCCCTCCCGAGGGGGCTCCACCACAGCGCGCCTGCGCGAGCTGCTCGCCGACGCCCCTGGAGAACATGAACCTGCACCCACCAGGGCGACGACGACGACGACGACGACGACGACGACGACGACGACGACGCCATGACGACGACGACGACGACGACGACGACGACGACGACGACGACGACGACGACGACGACGACGACCCCAGTCATCCGACGGACTCTTTCGGCGCGGGGCCCGCAGAAGCCCCGCTATCTCTCCCCGGGGCCAGCGCCCCGCCTCGAGCCGCTCGCGGACGGCCCCTCCGGGGGGGCTCAGAACGCACCCCCAGAAGGCCAGGAGCGACGCAAAGCCTCTGCCCTCGGGGACCCAGAGCGCACCCCAGAACAAGGAGCCCGCTGCTCTACAGTCGAACCTGGGCCAAACGAACATCCCTCAAGAACATGAGACCCTCCGTCGGCCAAAGAAGACAGAGCACAAAAGAGACCCTCCCCCAGGTTGCAGAAGATCATCCAACAAGCACGAAGCACACGAGGGCACCCTCCCCGAACCGACCTCGATCTTCTGCCTCGGCCCGACTGTCTTGTTCGGGACCGCGCCCGTGCCCAGCCTCGCCCCCCCCCCCCCCCTCCCTCCCCACCCATCACGCCCGTAGCCGCCGGGGGAGATACACATGTAGAGGCCTCCGAGATGGGGTCCGAGCAGATGGGGTCGGAGGATCGCGCCGCATCGCCGATACATCGGCAATACATCGGCGATGCATCGCCAATGCATCGGCGACATCGGCGATGCATCGGCGACGCCAACGTGGAGAAAATCAGGCTCCGCATCGAGCCGCATCGCCGATGCATCGACGATGCGGCGCGATCCTCCGACCCCATCTACTCGGACCCCATCTAGGAGGCCTAGAACATGGCCTCAAGGCCGAGCCAGGACCGGGACGAGGTCGGACGGGGATCCATCAGAGATCCCCGAGATCCGGCGGCTCGGGACGACACGCCGGGCGCCGCGGCCGTTCGGGGGCGCGCCGGAACGCGCCGAGGGCGTTCTGGGGCGCTCTCGGAGCGACTCGGCCGTGCCCTGGCCACTCGGCTACACTGAAGGGAAACTGGGACACACAAATAAATACACACAAATAAAATTATTCCCCATATTTTCCCATATTTTCTGGGTTTTTGTCTTCCCCCCCATTTCCCATATTTTCCCATATTTTCTGGGAATCGCAGATTAATTGTGTCTGTGTGTTTTTTCCCCCCCTGATACACGCAAGAGTGACCCTGGGTAAGAGTGATCTTTGGCGCGCGACTTGTTGGGGGCCGCGGGGGGGCCAAACCTGGGCGCGCAAGCAGCTGCTGCTGCTTCGTTTTCAAACATCTGGGGACCCATCTGTGCCCGCACCAGAGGTCACTCCGGCGAAAGGTCACTCTGACGTCTAGTCGAGCCACGCCCGGAGGGCGACGAGAAGCCTCCGCCCGGGCTCCCTGCCAGGCCGCCGGGCGTCCGAGGCGGCGGCAGGCCCCAGCAGCCAGGGCGGTCGGCGAGGCCTGCTGGCGCAGGCGCGCGCCGCGCCGGGGGGCGCCACACGGGCGACGATCCAGCACGGGTCTTGCGCGAGACGGCGTAGGCCACCGCGTGAGGACCCCACTCTGGGTTCCGGAATCAGCGTGGGGGGGGGACCCCCCCGACGGGGGTCAACCTCGCCTCGTCGTCGAGGCCGCGACGGGGGTCGGAGCGCCTTCGGCGCGCCGTGGCCGCCCGCGACGGGGGTCGGTGTGGGGCTGTCGGCGGGGGCGACGCCCCCCCGACGCTTATTAAGAAACTCGGACAATGTCATCTCGCGTACACCCTGCGAAATGCTTAAGAAATCATGGGTTAAGAAATTCATGGTCTCAGAACTTGAATGAAAATCCTTAGATTCTATTCAAATCTTAGGGTTTACATTGGAACATTAAGAATAATCGAGACTCTGGCCGAAAATTTAAGTTTTCTTAAGCATCGCCTAAGGCGTAAGGCCCGCTTCTTTTCGTCGCCAAAACGGTCGGGGGTCCGCGCGGTTTGCGTGGATCGGCGCTGGGCACCCTCAGCGGTGCCTCTGGCGCTGCCCCCGGCGCGCTCCGCGCACCAGGGAGAGGGCCCCTCGCCGATGCAACCAGATCTGCGCGGAGCTCCGAAAGTGAATTTTGGATTGTGTCGGGCGTGCCCGCCTGCAGGCGGAGCTTGGAGGAAAAATAAAAAGTCATCAAAAAAAGATCGACTGAAATAAACAAAAACAGTCTGGAAATCGTCCCCAGACTATTCTTCGACAATTTTTGAACATTCCCCCTGCAGAGGGACGTGCCCGACTTAAATTGTGGAATGTGCCGTGCTCTCTCCTCGAGAAAACCCAGCGCAGGCCAGCGCTGGGGGGAGGCCCTGTGGGCCCGCACCCAAAACAGGTGAAGGCCGCCCAAATGGTGTTCGCATAGATGCCCTCTGAGGATGGCGCCGGATCGCCCACTCATCGCCGATGCGTGGGCGATGCATCGGCGACACCTGCGTTGTGAGAATCGAGCTCCACATCGAGACGCATCGCTGATGCATCGGCGGTGCGACGCGACCCTCCGGCCCCATCTGCTCCGAACCCCACTTGAGCGGCGAAGAGGCAGGCGCTCTTGCGCACGATGACAGAGCAACTTTTCGCGATGGCTTATCGGGTCGGGCGAAAGGGGGGGATAGCAAAGGGGGGGGGTGAGAATCAGCGCACGCAGCTGATTTTCCTGGCGCCTCCCGGCGCCAGAGGCGCCCATGTATCGAGGAATGGGCCCCTCGGTGGGGCCGAAACCAGCTGCGTGCAGCAGATTTCGTAACCCCCCCCTTTCCCAATCCCCCCCTTTCGTACGGCCCGATTTGGGCACGGGGGGAACCTCGATCCTCGATCGATCCTCGATCCTCGATCCTCGATCCTCGATCCTCGATCCTCGCGCCCGCGCCTCCGGCGCTCCTCGATCCTCGATCCTTGATCCTGGATCCTCGATCCTCGATCCTTGATCGATCCTCGATCCTCGATCCTCGATCCTCGATCGATCCTCGATCCTCGATCCTCGATCCTCGAGCTTACGCGTGCCTCCAGCGCGGCACGCTGCACTGCAAACGAGGGCGCTTGCCCGCGCCGCCCCTGCGCGGGCAGCTTATGCGCGATGATGTCGACGCAGCCGGCCCCGTGCCCCGCCGTCGCTCGGCTGGGCGGCCCAGACTCTCATAAGGCCTCCGGGCGGGGGCTCGGACGACGAGTGGTCCCCGCCTCGAGGAGGAGGGAGGGAGGAGGAGGAGGAGGGAGGGAGGAGAAGAGGAGGAGGAGGAGGAGGAGGAGGAGGAGGAGGAGGAGGAGGAGGAGGAGGAGGGAGGGGAGGATGAGGAGGAGGAGAGGAGGAGGGGAGAAGGAGGAGGGGAGGAGGAGAGGAGGAGGAGGAGAGGAGGAGGAGGAGGAGGAGGAGAGGAGGGAGGAGGAGGAGGAGGAGAGGGAGGAGGAGGAGGAGGAGGAGAGAGGAGGAGGAGGAGAGGAGGAGGAGGGGAGGGGAGGAGGAGGGAGTAGGGGCGACAGAGGCCGCACGCGCAGCTGGGCGCCGCGCGCCACCGGCACCCACCCGGATGCCCCCCGGGGGCGGGCGGAGCGGCGACGTGAGCCCGCTGCCGCTGGCTCTCGCGTCCGGCTGCCCACTGGAGCTGCCCGCCCTCGCCAGCCTCGCCGGTCGCGGCGAGCGGCGAGAGCGGCGAGGCGCCGCTGGCGACGGCAGGGCGGAGAAGCCGGACGCCCGAGATGGACTGCCTTCGGCGGCGAGCGGGGGGGGGGAAGCGAGCAGAAGGCCTTCTCGGAGGGCGGCGGGGCCTCCCAGAGGCCCTCGCGCCTTCCGGGGAGCTCTCTCTGCGTCTCCGGGGAAGGCTCAGAGAACTTCTCAGAAGGCAGGCGGACTTCCGAGCCTTCTGAGAAGGTCTGCCACCTCCCTCCTGGGCTCGCAGGCGATACCTACCGAACCACCTCAATCCAACACGAAGACCCAAATTTCGGGCTGGGGGGAGGTACGGGTTCCACATGTGCTGTTTCAATGTTCCCCGACGCCCCCAGCAAATCGGGGCCTTCGGGTTGGGTTGGGGAGATTTGAGGGGTGGTGAGACATGGGTATGGGAAAACGTTCTGCGGTAACTCATTGAAGCCTCCAATGCCATCTTCCAGGCTCTTGCTGGCACTTGCGAATCGACGCTATCCGACGCTAATCCGCGCTAATCGTTGCTAGATCGACGCCAACTGGCGCACGCCAAATCGACGCTGATCGACGCTAAAATCGCCACTCCTCATGGGTTGCCAGACGCCAATGCACGCTGATGCATTCTGAAGACGGAGTTACAAGGACATACAAGGCTCCCATGACTTGCTACCGAAAAATGGGTACGATGTCCAACAGAGAATGTTGTCAAAAACTGGCAGCGGCCGCTGTTGAAAAGGCGGCCTGTAGTCTCAAATGCTCAACGTCCGCGGCGACGCCGACAGCAAATCCTGTTCAAAATGGGCACGAACCGCTGTTGGTCTTCGTGCCCAGTCTTTCCGTACCCATTTCTTCGGCCGAGCTGGCAGCGAATCCGAGACCGACTGGATAGGACGACAGCAGGATGTTCGAGGTTTGGGAAGTGGCACCAACACCAACCCAGGGGGCGCTGGTGGTAACATATCAGCCACCTGGGAAGCCCAAATGTTACCACCATCACCGAGATCGGTATCATCTTCCCTCGGACAATGTCGGCAACCACCGATGTTGGTGCTGGCGCCGACCTCCAGACATCCCAGGGTGAGCGAGATCAGTATCATCCTCCCCCGGGCGGTTGGTGCTGGCGCCAGCCTCCAGACCTCCGAGGGTGAGCGAGATCAGTACCATGGTCCCTCGGGCGGTGGCGGCAATCGCCGATGTTGGTGCTGGTGCCAGCCTCCAGACCTCCGAGGAGGAGCATGAATAGGGGGCCACATGCGAACCCTACCCCTACCCCCCACGATTTCTGTCCCGAACGGAGTGAACCCCACCCGCCCCCTCGGAAATCGTGGGGGGTAGGGGTAGGGTTCGCATGCGGCCCCCCAATCATGGTCCCTCGGGCGGTGGCGGCAACCGCCGATGTTGGTGCTGGTGCCAGCCTCCAGACCTCCGAGGAGGAGCACGAACTCGGACGGGGACGGCGCAGAACTCCGAGAGCCAGCGGGTCTGGATCGGGCGTTGGTAGAACTGGGTTTAGTGGAACCTGGTTTAAAGATCTGTACCGTAGGGCGACGCAATCTATACATATCCACTGCTCCCTGGCCAGGCCCATCCTGAACACAGCAGCTGTGTATACGCCACGCCCTCCTGGTTTGGCCAGGAGGGCGTATACACAGCTCCTGGGTTCAGGATGGGCCTGGCCAGGGAGCAGTGGATATGTATAGATTGCGTCGCCCGATACCCGCCCCCCGTCCCATTTCCACTAACCGGAACTGCCGTCGCCCGAAAAAGACACCAGCTGTGGCAAACCTGGTTTCGTGATTCTGGCCAATTCGAAGGCTCCAGGGCCCTACCACCAACCCGGTCCCCTGACCCGGGGTCCTGGCCACACCCGACTGGAGGCTGCACCGGGGGCCCCCCCGCGCCGGCCCGACGGGAAGCGGCAGTCGAGAAGCAAAAGATCCCAGCAGCACGCAGCGATTCGCGGCAGCCGACGGGGCCGAAAAAACCGCACGGAGCGTTTCGCCGGCCGCGCGAGGGACGAGGCCGGGCCAGGCCGCGGACGGCCTCTTGCGGCTGCGGCGGTGGCGTCGGCGACGACCCCAGACATCCGCGCCATCCACGCCGCGAGAGAGATCCACGGCCGGAGGTTCCCGGCCGAGTTTCGGCCTCGGGGGGGGGGGGGGGGGGCGCCTTTCTCGAACCCCCAGGACCTTCGAGGAACGGCGGGGGACGAAAAAAAAACACATGCACCCGCCAGTGGGCAGAAGTCGGTGGCAACATGACGCAGGCAGGCGGGTAACTAAATTGAGTAGATTGGGCCTGGCCCCGCCCAAAGAGTGTGGCAAACAGCACGAACAGAGAGACGATTGAAGGAGGAAGGCGCGTGGAGCAGATTGGGATCTGCGAGAATCCAGGAAGGCCGACTCTCGCGTACCGAAGAGAGGGCATGGAAAAGCCAGCCCTGGGCCAGGGAGGGCGCCGGGACCTCCGGGGGCCGAGGGGGGACGAAAAGGGGGCCCAGCTCAGGGGGGGAGCGTCTGGCTGAGATAAACGATACACGATTGAAGGGTAAAACGACGCGAAGATCGGGACAAAATCGGATCGGGATAACTCGAAATCTCTGAGAATCGCCGGGTTTGGAGGATGTATTGGGCGCCGCGGCCGCTCCAGAGCGTTCCAGAACGCTCTGAGAGCGCTCCGGAACGCTCTGGAGCGATTTATCCCGATCCTAGCCCTGTTTTAAAGGGGCCCCAGGACACACAAATGAATACACACAAATGAAAAGATTCCCCATATTTTCTGGGGGATCGACGATTGACTGTGTCTGTGCGTGTTTTTTTCCCTCCTGACTCTGGGGGGAGCGTCGGGCTTAGATAAAGGATACACGATACAGCGCCGATAGATGGGCGGGGTGGGGGGCTATCGGGCTCCGACCGGCGATGAGTGGGCGATTGGGGGTAGATGCTCCCCCCCATGGGCCAATCCGCCCTGGTGATCCTCGTCGCCTGGTTTTCGGGTCAGAACTCGTATCTCCAGCGGCCGTTCGTCGGCGACGCCGCCGCAGTGGGCACCCGAGCCCGATCCTCTGGCAGAGGAGCCAAAAACAGGCACGGACCTGATGCCTTAGAGCCACTACCCCGCTGCCGTTGCCCCCGAGCGAGCCCATGTTCGGACAAAAATCCAGACATCGGATGTCCCGGCCGGTGACTGCGAGGACCGCCAGCAGCCTCGCGGCGCGGCGGCGCCGGCGCCCGCGGCAGCGGCGGCGGCGGGGATCCAGGCTTTGCGGACGCTCTGGGCCCTGCTCGAGCCTCCCGAGGCCTCCAGGTGAGCAGCGACAAGAAGCGGGTCTTACGCACGATGACATAGCGACCTTACGCCGCGGCTTCAGCGGGCCGCCAGCGCGGCACGCCGCACTGGAAACGAGGGCGATTGCGCGCACGCGAGAATGTCCGCGCATTCGAACCCGCTTTTTCTGCATCGTTCAGATGCCTCCGAAGCCTCCACGCAGGGACCTCCGGGGGACTTGTGGAGACCTCTGGATACATCCGGAGGACCTCCATTGAGATGCTCTTTTTGCAGAGATCTCTGGAGATCTCTGGGGCGGCGACAGCGGCGGCGACGGCGTCGCCTGGGGAGAACCAAAGAAATTGAAAGACTGAGCATATGTCCAATGAGCTGCTGGCTTTCTGGGCTCCTGGGCTCTCAGGATTACCCAGGGGGAGAGGAGTAAGGTCGGGAAAGATGGGCATGAGGAGTAGATGGAGAGAGGGAGCGGAGAGGAGTGAGGAGGACGAGCACGAGGGGGAGTGGGAGGGGGGGCGGAGGAAGAGAATGGGGAGGGGAGGAGGGGGAAAGGGAAAATGACGGAGGGGGAGCAGGAGGGAGGGGGAAGAGGAAGGAGGGAGGAGGGAGGAGGGAGGAGGAGAAGAGAGGAGGAGGACCAGGAGGAGGGAAGGAGCACAAAGAAGAAGGAGAAAGAGGAGTAGGAGAAGGAAGGGAAGGCGGGAATGAGACAGAACAAATAACGTAAAACAACAATAGAGGAATGAGAGGAAGGACGAGAATGACGGGGCAGCCCCTGCGCCTCCCAATCCCCCCTCCACGCCCTCCGCTCCCGTCCTCTCCTCGTTACGTCTCCCGTCCCCATCCCCACTCGCATCCACTCCAGACCCAAGCCGAATGGTCGCGCAACCTGTTTCGGTATTAGAATTCTTCCGTGCGATCTGTCCTATCCTCTCCTACCCGTTCTCCTCCGCATCCCGTCCTTCCCGCCTCCCCAACCCCCTACAGTCGGGGCGTTAACCTAAGGAACTCGAAATCAGGAACGAGGTCCATTTTTTCCATTGGCTAAGCTTCGATGTCCTATCGAAAACATGAGGAACACCTGAGATAAGCTGCGAAACAATTAAGGAACACGGAGCCCCTCCCCAACGAAAAGGGTTCCTTCTTCAGCGACCCGACTGCACCCCCGCCTGTCCCCCTGCCCTCCTTCTCCACCCTCCTATCGCACCTTTCCCGAGGTGCATTCGGCCAGAATTTCGAAGCTGATCCAGCCGAGGCCACGCAGGAGGCCCAAAGAAGCCCTGGAACGCCCGAACACATCGATCCTCAAACCTCGATCTGGCGCAGTCTGTTCTCGCGTGGCCCTGGCTTCTGACAGCGCGTGAACCCTTCAGCCTTGAACGCTCAGCTGCTTACCGATCGTCTGGTACGGCACTCCACCTTGAACGCGACCGCTGGGGTCAAGTCGGGCGTGTCCCCCTACAGGGGGACTGTCGACGAAAAATAAAAAAGACCCCAAAAATCCCCCGAAAAGGCAAAAATATACGCAAAAAATAATCCCCAGACCATTTTTGACTACTTTTGGGGTACTTTTTTTCCGTCGAACATCCCCCTGTATGAAGGCGCCCCACGACACACAAATAAATACACACAAATAAAACAATTCCCCATATTTTCTCATATTTTCTAGGTTTTTGTCTTCCCCCCCACTTCCCATATTTTCCCATATTCTCCTGGGAATCGACGATTAATTGTGTCTGTGTGTTTTTTCCTCTCCTGACTGTAGAGGGACAGGCCCGACGGAACGCTGGGGTCGCCGCCGCGGCGGCACGGCGCGAACCTGCCGCACCCTTAATTAACGAGGGGAACGAAGGACGACAACCGCAGAACGACGCGGCGGAGGCCCGCGCGGACTGCTCGCATCCGCGCTGCACTGAAGGGGAACTGGGACACACAAATAAATACACACAAATAAAGATATCCCCCATATTTTCCCATATTTTCTGGGTTTTTGTCTTCCCCCCCTCTTCCCATATTTTCCCATATTTTCTGGGAATCGCCGATTAATTGTGTCTGTGTGTTTCTTTCCCTCCTGATGCACACACACACACACACACACACCCGGGCGGCGCCTCTGGCGCCGCCCCCCTGGCGCGCTCCGCGCGCCAGGCAGGAGGCCCCAGCGCCGATCCGAGAAATCCGCGCGGCCCTCCGAGCTGTTGCGCTCCTGTCGTCCTTCGTTCCCCGACTGCCGGTCCGAGCTCGGCAGAGGGCACGCTGCGAGAGGCGGGCTCGCCGCGGCTCGCTGGAGGGCCGCCGGAGGCCGTAGTGCTCGCCACCTCGGCAGGGCCGCCACGCGTCCTGCTCCTGCTCCTTCCCGCGCCCTCCGCCCGCCTCCCCCAGGGTAGGCAGAGGGAGTTCGCCACGTGATGCGAAGTTCCCCCTCCCCGCCGACTCCCCCTCCTCCTCCTCTTTCCTCCTCCCCCTCCTCCTCCTCTTTATATCCTCCTCCTCCTCTTTCCTCCTCCCCCTCCTCCTCCTCCTCCTCCTCCTCCTCCTCCTCCCTCCTCCTCCTCCTCCTCCTCCTCCTCCTCCTCCTCCTCCTCCTCCTCCTCCTCCGCCTCCGCCTCCGCCTCCGCCTCCTCCCCTCTTCTTCCGCTGCGGGCGGCGAGGCTTTCTTGGTCGCTAGCCTGGCGAGCGCGCGGGTCGGTCCAGCGGCCCAAGGGCGCTGAGCGGCGAACTCCACGCTGGTCGGAAGAAGTTGAGCATCGTTCAACCGATCCCATTCCCCACTGGTGTGGCCTGGGCCCACTGGCCGATTTTGGGGGGGAACGAAAGGGGAAGATAGCAAAGGGTAGGGTAGAGCATCAGTTCACGTAGCTGATTTTCCCAGCGCCTCCCGGCGCCGGGAGGCGCCCATGTATCGAGGAATGGGCCCGGCGGCGGGGCCGAAACCAGCTGCATGCAGCAGATCTCGTAACCCCCCCTTTCCCTATCCCCCCTGGATGGGGATACAGGCTGTTCTCCTTGGGTTGTGAAGGGTATGTCCCCAACTGACGTGGTGGGATGATGCGGTGGAGATGGGGATGGGCATGTGGATAGGGATCGGTTAAACGGTACTGAGAAGTGGGTAGAAGCATGAAGCAGGAAGGCGGATGGAGTAAATTGGGTTCGCGCCCGCCCAGAGAATGACAGCACACGACCAGAAAAACGGATTCTCAAAGCTGGAATGAGCTAGAAGCAGATTGGGGCCTGGCTGTCCACAAATACCCACTCCCAGCGACTGGAGCGCAAGCCCGGCAGGTGGCGGGAGCAGAGCGGCCGCGGAGGCGAGGAGCGGTCGGGGGGCAAGCTCAGGCAGTGGAGGCCCTCCTCGACAGGCTGCGGCCCAAGCTCGCTCGAGCCGGTGAACTGGGAACGGGCGGGAATGCAGGGGAGGTGAAGAAGCGCGCACCTTTCCAGCGCCCTTTTGCGGCAGATTTGGGGCCGTTCAGGGCCTCTTTGGGGCCACTGCCCTGCAATCCGCGATCCCCCCCCGCCGCTCATTCGAGATCACAAGAGAAGCCTACAAAAGCATAAGTTTTCGTAGGTTCCTAGGTCCGCGCCGAATTGTTGGATCGGCGCTGTACCCCCTCCCTGGCGCGCGGAGCGCACGAGGGGCGGCGCCGCGGGCGCCGCCAATGGGCAATGGGTTCCAGCGCAAATCTAAAAAAAAAAAAAACGCGGAGATCTGAAAGTTTATTTCTTTCATGCGCCAGCACCTCCAAAGCCGCCGGCAGCTCCACGCCCAGCCAACGGGCCCACTTGCGCACAGCTAAATGTGCACCGACCAGGGTGCACAGACAAGGCCTCGGCCAAACAAATGGCACTACACAGAGCACGATGGAAAGTGCACGAGCTGCAAGAGGAAGAGTCGCCCAGGCACAGCCTGCCATGTCGGGCGCTGGGAAGGCCTGGGCAGGAGGAGCCCTGAAAGTTCATGCCCGTGCAAGTTCTCCAGATTCGATGACTACAGGAGAGGCTCGACCACGAGAATCCTCTCACGAGAAACCCAACCCTGAGACCCCAGGACGTCCTGACTTTTGGTGTGGGAACGTCACGCTTTCCATAGCAAAACCACCGAAGCCCAAGAAACCCAGGGCACTATGGAGGAGAGCAGGAAGGTTCTTGGCATGGGCCCCCACTGTACAGAGAGCACGATGGAAAGTGCACGAGCTGCAAGAGGAAGAGTCGCCCAGGCACAGTCTACCATGTCGGGCGCTGGGAAGGCCTGGGCAGGAGGAACCCTGAATTGGTTTGCCCGTGTAACTTTTCCATACCCGATGGTTACTGACTACGTGGTCATCACCAGACACCCCCAACCATAAAAAATCGACGTCTAATCTTTTCGCATCCGCAAGGCGCGCCACGTCCAAGGGAACATCGGGGCTTCGAGTGCCGGCTACCCCGACAGAAGTGCAAGAGCACTCTCATGTCCCACGTCGCAGCCGCGCAAGGGGAATTTAGCCTTGCGCTGCCGAGCCCTTGGCAGGAGAGCCCAGAATCGAATCGACAAGTCGGATCGGCGATCGAAATGAATCGGATCGGCGGAAATCGGCAGCCGAGTCGGGAAAAGTCGAATCGGCGGAAATCGGCAGCCTAGTAGGCCTTCGTTAGGAAATCTGAGCCAAAATCGGAATCCGACATCGGATCGAATCGGAATCGGAAATCATCGAAATCGAATCGAATCGAATCGGAGGAATCAAAATTAGCCCAAGGCTTGGCACCTGGCAAGACCCCCTCGCGTCGTCGAGGACACCTCGACGGGCGGCCCTGGCGTCGCCCTCGGCCTCTGGGCGCGCTCGCCAGGCCCGCGGGGGCATCGACAGAGGACGGCTCGGGACGAGAAGCCCACCAGGGCTCATCGAGTGCTGCCCAATCCTTGCACGCTGCCCCCAAATTCAGCGACGCGACGCGGGAGACCAAAAGTGGACGGAAGCCGACCTAAATGCGCTAAGCCGAGTCAGTCATACTAGAAAACACAAGGGTGTGGGTGAGTTATTCTTTCCCCTCTGGGGTAACGGTCGTTACCCCTGGGGGGGTGTCGAGCAAGAGGGCAACGACAACGGCGGCCGCGGCGTGCACGCTTCCATCGGTGGTAACTCATGGGAGCCTCCCATCCCATCTTATTGGTTCTCGCGAGTCGATGCGAGTCCACGCTACGTCGACGCCCATCGACGCTAATCGACCCTGACCAAAACTAAATCGTCGCTCTCGTCGACTACCAGACCCGAATCGACGCCAGTCGACGCTAAAAGATAAAATTCGGAGTTCACACATAAGGAAACAAACACAGAAAAACTCCGCGGTCCGCGCGTATTTCTTGGATTGGCGCTTGATCCCCCTGCATGGGGTGCGGAGGCGCCGCCAGGAGGCCCCAGCGCCCATCCAAGGAATCTGCGCGGACCTCCGAGTTCTTGTGTTTGCGTCATTGCTTGTTCCCCGAATGCGAGGCTCCCGTGCTCTCCTGCCGAACGGCTCCCTTTGGGCTTCCACTGGCGGAAGAGCCACACGTACACATATATATATATATATATACATATATATATATATATGTGTGTATGTATATATACATACATATACATATATATATATATATATATATATATATGTGTGTGTGCATCCGCTGGCCCTCCGACGGCCTTCCGCCGGGGCCTCCGCCGAAGGCGAGGCTGCGCCAAGTCCCTGCTTGGGCACGGCCCTCTATTGAAGGGCCCAGGGGCACACAAACAACTAGATACAAATCCCAGGATTCTCAAGATTTTTGATATGTTATGGGTATTCGTCTTCCCATCCACTGCCCATGAGTATGTTTAATATTCCTGGGAATCGACGATTATTTGTGTGTATGTGTTTTCCCCTCCTGAATCTGGGAATATTGGAAGTGAACACCAACACCCAACACAGGGGGGGGCCTCCGGGAAGATGCTCCTAGGTGTCGGTCTTGGTGGTGATACTTCGGCCACCTAGGAGGCCCAAGCACTCCCACCATCACCGAGATCGGGAGCATCTTCCCTCGGTGGAGGCACACCGCCGACATTGGCGTTGGTGTCAGCCTCTAGGCTCCAGGCCTTCGACTCTGGGCACTGCTTGACCGAACGAAGACATAGCTATGTACGACTAGCCACACGCCTTGCGGTCCCGCGTGCGCGGGTGACCGTGTGCCAAGGCAGGCCAGCGGAAGCTGACCGCGCGTGCTGCTGGCCTCTGACCGCTGGTTCTGGCGGAGCCAAGAGGTACCGGTACCGCCGCTCCCCAGACCTCTTCCGAGCTGCGTCCTGGCCAGCATTTCGGGGAGAATCCAGCCGTGGTGACGAGGGCCCCCCAGGAGGCCAAGAAACGCTGAAAACATCGAAAGTTGGCGGTATCGGTGCGGCAGGTTCGTGTCGTGCCGACTTCGGCGTTGGTTTCTGACATCGCGGGGAGCGTTCAGCCTTGCACGATCGGCCGTTCCCGAGAGGTCAGCTCGTTCAACATCGACCGACTCGGGGTCGCAGGCCGCGTTCAACGTCGAACGCCGGCGGCGGGGTCGCCGCCAGACGACACGACGCGAACCTGCTGTACCCTCGCCGTCGCTGAAGTTCTGTTCCTCCTCCATCGTCCCTTCCTCGCCCCTGCCGCCGAGCTGAGCCCGACGCCCATCATCGGCCCGAAGAGGGCCTCCAGATCCTTCTTCCCACAGTTCTGCACCAGCCTGGCGCGGCGCGCGGGTCCTAGTACGACGACGACGACGAATGACGACGACGACGACGACGACAATAAACGACGACGACGACGACGACGACGACGGACGACGGACGACGGACAACCGACGACGACGGAGCCTCCCCGAGGGCGCGGGCGCGGCGGCCGCGGGGGCGCGCCGGCTCTGCCGCTTGCCGCCCGTCGAGGTATTCTTCTCCTGGCGGCCGCGACCCGCTGTGGCGAAAGAGTGCCGTTCTTTGACTCGCGGCCATCACGGGCGTTGTGAGGGGCCACCTGCGAACCCTACCCCACCCTCCCCCTCAGAAATCGTGGGGGGTAGGGGTAGGGTTCGCAGGTGGCCCCCTAGTTGTGGGGGGGGGATGGGAGCCCAGACGGTGGTGCTGGAAGCACTGGGCAGTGCCGGGGACGCACTGAGGGGGGGAGCGTTGGATCAGAGGGGGGGAGGAGAAGTGTAGGGGGCATAACGCGCGTGATGGCCAAGAGGGTAGAAAAACACTCAAACAGCAACGCATGTAGGGAGCCCACAACAGGACGTACGCGCCAAGCCACATACATAAACACGGTTTTCCGAATCTCCGAGGCCAACCTCGTTTTACGAACGTTCGCGAGATACGTACTTTCGAAACCAACAGAGGACGAACGTTCGCGAGTTACGTTCGTCCTCTGCGGAGGCGCACATCTGGACAGAGCATCTAGCACAAACGTCTTGTAGCACATCGTCTCCCGAACGGCACGGCCAGAAAACGCCCGCCACGGAGTTTATACAATCAGATTTCTCGGCGCGCGCGTCGCCCCTGGGGGATGGGGGGGGATGACACACACACACACACACACACACACACACACACACACACACGTACACACACACACACACACACACACGTTGTGGGTCGGCGGTTAGGCAGAGTGACTGCGCTGGCAGATGGAGCAGATGCAGGGCATACAAATGCGAATTAAGCCGCGATACACGTGAAGAAGAGTGAGAACGCCTGTTGGGGCGACGCCGTCTAGAGGGAGGAGGAATGGGGAAGGGCAAAGCGGTGAGGCCGCTGTAGTTACGGGCGCGAGTTGTCGGACCCCGCATGGGGGCTCCCGATCGAGCAGGGGGAACCCCAGACTGAGCAGAGCCAAATTTCTGGGCGCGGCGAGAAAGAAAAAAAATGGGAAGAACAAGGATGCGAACGGAAGAGGGAAGAAGAGAAACGGAGGAGGAAAACGATGAGAGTCACGACGGTGACGACAATCTTCCCTGCCGCCATGAAGCGTGAGTCCAGGGTGCGCGGCGATACCGGCTGTATCGAATCAGCTGAACAACTCGCGCGTTTATTCCGCAAGGCTACCCAGAAGGAGTCAATCAGTTCTCCGCCAGCCCATTGGCGGGGCCACCTGAAGAAAGGCGGGCCGAGAAGGAATATTGTTCCTGTGTATGCGTAAAGCTCCCCAGATACGTTCAATGTTGCAGCCGCACGGCGAATGTAGTCGTCTATCACAAGGGCGCGGCGCCCTAGTAGGGATGTCCACGAGGAGGTCGACTGACGGTCCAAGGACCACGTCCAACAGGGATTGGTCGCTTTCGGCTACGTACCAAGCGTTGGCTAGTAAGCACGCGACGAAGGTCGCCCCAGGAGGATCGACCTCGCAGGATTCTCCGCCTACTCCAGGGGCGCTGCCGCTGGGGGCCAGCACGAGGGCGGCCAGTCTACCCCAGATAGGCGGGGGCCATGATCAATCCGCACCAGTCTACCCACAGAGAAGCAGCAGAGAAGCAGGCATCGAGGAGTCGTCCTGCGCATTGCGGCAGGAGTGGTGCCGTCTGTCGGAATGCCGCTTTGCTGCCCCACTGGGTCAACATCAGGCGCTTTGTCGTGCCAGGCGTCAAGGTCGTCGCGCACGCCCCTACCATCCAGTGGTGGAGCGCTAGAGGGGCCATCTCGACCCCCGAGCCTTTTTGCCAAAGCGCGAGGTTGGCGGCTCCTCCCTGGTCCTGGTCAGCCTTCTACTTGAGCGCCCAGGCGGGCACCTGCCAACGCGCCTGGCCCTGGCCGTTCCACCCCACGGCAGTCATCCAGGCGGAGAGTGCACCCGCGGGCCCTAGTCCTTCGTTGGCTCGCAGCGCCCTCCGTAGATGGGGCGGCCAGGGCCTTGGCCCTTGAGTCTCCCACTCGATTCCCGCCATCAGGCCTGCATGGAGGCAGAGAGCGCGCGCCTACCGAAGTGCACTAGTAGGTGGCAGATGGGCGGCCCTGCGTACGAGGCGGGAACGGGCGCTTGGGGGCGGGCAGGGATGTCGTCGCGGTCCGCGCGCAACGCCCCTGCAGGGTGGTTGTCGGGCAGCTGTCCAGGTCTTGCACTCGCCTGCCAATCGGGGAGGGGGAGGAGGAGGAGGAGGAGGAGGAGGAGGAGGAGGAGGAGGACCTGAGAACGGGGAGGGAGGAGGAGGAGGAGGAGGAGGAGGAGGAGGAGGAGGAGGAGGAGGAGGAGGAGAAAAAAAAATAACGAGGAGGCTCGATTGCGACTCCAGTCAGGTCGAAGCGAGGGATGCCGAACAGCCGCTCCAGGCACGCGCACTTCCCCGCGCAGGTCGGCGCGCGCCTCTCTCCGGGCAGCGCCTCGTGGGCCCAGGACGTGAGGACGTCAACACTTCTGGTGGGCGGCTGCGTGGCGGGGTCTGCGTAGATGAGGGCATGCTCTGACGGGGGCGTCTCCCCGGACTTCCGCGCGCGGCACCGCCCCGCTGCGGACGTCGGGCAGGCCACCGCGTCACTCTGGAAGACACGCCCCGGCCCGAGCGGGCGGGCCCTTCCTCGGCAGCGGCATGGGCCTGCCTGTTAGCAAGAAGGGAGACCCACGCGGCCACGTCTTCCACCTCGCCCTCCCTGGGCGAATTCCGCTGCACGTTGGTGTCCCCGCCCCAGGAAGCGGGAACATCGCCAGTGGGCGGCAAGGCCGGCAACATCTCACTGAGTGCTTCCGCGCGCCTATCGGGAGGGAGGTAAACTGACACGGACCCAGCGGTCTCCGCATCTTGCCCGGCCACGACCTCTAGCACACGCCCGGGCACCAGGGTCGCGGGCGATACTACCTCGCACCCGTCTG